TGGTGCTTAGTTGCTGGCTGGTTCTAAACCACGACAGTGTTGTTTTAAGGGACCAAATGCATTTATTTTTTTGATTGTTTTACCATTCCTTAAAAGAGAGCTCTTCATTTATGGATTTCAGTGAAAGTAATTTTTTGTGCAATGAGACTCCTAGAATCACTGATTCACTCTTGAATTCAGCAAAGTTCTGATTTTTCCCAAGAACTATAAAGCTGGAAGACAGTTTGTCTCCAAATGTTTTGTATGTTTTGCTGGACATGTAGCTTATAGCTACAGAAGATTCTACTTCTTCCCCCTTGTGTTGTATTTAAGATTTTGCCAACTTTGAAGGATGCAAGTGTTTTGAGTATTATTTGAGTGCTTGTTCTTCTCCAATGTTTAAAATGCTGTCATTTTAACCTTTCAGGGAGTCTTCGTTACTGTGACTTCGCCTGCCATGCTCGATTAGTTTTACTATCCAAATTATTTATTTCATGTGCCCTGCTTAAGCATTACTTAGGTTGTATTTCTTTTACCTGCTACAGGGAGAACTGCAGTCAAGAACTGAGCATATGTTCAGATCTAGTTCAGCTTATAGCTTTCTCCCTGAAGTTGACACCAGCTGCATCTCACCAGCTATCTGGACTGTGGCACTTGTTACACCTTAATGAAGTAAGAACATGTTTTCACTATAAGATTTTTGACGTGAGGCTTTTCTACCCATGCCTGACAATAATGGTTCCTTCTTTTGATAAGAAAGGTTATTAACGGTGAGCCTCCAAAAAGCAAAATTAAAACACAATATTAAAACAAATAAAACACAACAAAATCTTAAATAACTTAGTTCTATGTGGTCTAGTTTGGTGCTATTGTTCCATTCATCCATCTGTGACCTAATGGAAAACAGGAAACTGGTTGAATGGCAGGTGCCAGCCTGGTTGTATCTATGTATTCAAAGTAATTTTATGCTGAAAAATACTTGCCTCTGTTCCTGTGCCTCTAATTTTTTTTTAGTTCTGTGTTGCAAATCAAATAGACTGAGACAGTTATTTGATGCATTTTCTGTAGAGCATTTAATGTGTCAGAGAAATTCTGATTGGATACAGTGGTGGTTGTGTTCCCACAAAGCTCAGTAAACCAGCAAGTTCACTTTAAATGCTTCAGAGCAGCATATTGGATAGCTTTATCTGTTTCACGCTTATGCAACCTCATGTATCGTAACAAAAGTTTGCAAAGTCATAGGTTAGAGGCTGTATTCCGAAAACTTGCTCTGTAAACACATTGTATATACCACAGACAGAAGGAGGCAGTGCAGACCTCAGAAAGCATACTCTTTTTGTTGAGAAGAGATGCAAGCAAAGGATATGTGAATTTGAAAAGGATCTTGAGGCATATCTTGTACTACCCCTACTGAAAAAGTGTCATACTCTTGTTTCTTCTTTTTTCCCCCCTCTCCTTTTTCTGTGAGTGTGTGCTTGATTCTCTTGCTCCCTGTAAATTATTCTCAGCTCTAGGTTTTTCTCTCTCCTTAGATATCCCCTGAAGAAATGTCTGCCCTGTCATCTCAACTAGTTAATGCTGCGTTAGCATCCTTTTGGAGCAGCACTTTCACCACTGACCCAGACTACTGGTTGACTTGGAGGCCGCTACCTGCAACAGAGGAAAAGAACTTTTCTAAATCCCATATGAACTGTTCTATGAAGGTTTGTCTCTTCTGACCTAAGCAAATAACTAGGCTGAATACTCTTTTATTAAATAACCCAACAGCTTTCTAAAGCAATACTGTAAGTTCTAGCATAGTCAGTGCAAGTTGCATCTGAACAATCTAACTCTTAATCTCTTAATTTAGGGCCCAGGTATTTTGACCCGAGCCGTTTTCTCAAAGTGCTTCTTTGAAATTCTAACTAGCAGCAGCAAGACAAACCAGTGGGATGTGAGTGGGCTTCCTGTTCTGTCATCATCCCACGTGACACTGGGAGAATGGATGGAGAGAGCACAGCAGCTTCATGAAGTCAGCACAGCACTGTGGACCAACCTGGCTGTCTCTTCAATAGCAGATTTTAGGTATTGGGACCTGTCTTCCACATATGGTATTTCAGTTGAGCATGTTACAGAAGTGTGCTTACAATGTGTAAACTTTTTTCATTCCTTTGCCTCCAGATACACAGATGCTAGACTGCAGGGAATAATGCTAGGTAGACAACTCTCTGCCCTGGTAGATCTGGTTCCAGTGGATCTTCAAGTAGAATTTTTGGAGTGCTGTGAGAAGCTCTACCTCAAGGATCCTGTTGCATACGAGTACCTTCTCAAGATACTTAGAAGCATCACTGATCAGGAGTTACTTCCTAAAGAATTCCTATTTCTCCTGCTCACTTGCTTGCAGCAGTTCTCTGGGGAAGGGCTTAAGGAGTTACCAGAGACAGCTTGGCGAGGAAGCCTCTGGGTGAATATTGGTTTGGTGCAGATCCAGGTGTGGCTTCCGCAGACCAGGTTCGATCCGGCTGTCAAAAGAGAATACAAACTCAAGTACACAAAAGAAGAGGTGAGTGTGGAGCTGAGCTGGCTTTTACCTCTGTAATGTATAAAAATCAACACAAAGGAGTTTGGCTTGGGTGTTCTTGGGCAAATCTTTGGTCACGATTTTTAAACTATACAGTTAGAACATCTTTTAATGTCCAAGAAGATGATGTACCTACTTGGTTGCCAAAATCAGAGCCTCAGAGAATGGTTTATTCTTTCCTTTTTAGTTATACCAGCTGGAGTGTGAATGGAAAACAAATGATTTCTCATCCCAGCTGCATACAGGAAAAAGTATTGAAGATGAAGCAGTCAGCAACTATATTCATCCCCATCTCAGGTAACACCTCAGGCATTTAACTCTTATCTTTTTAGAAACTTAAATCTTCTCTCTTAGATGGGAAATTTAATCTTTGGATGCTTAGGCTCCAAAGCTTTTCTCCACAGCTTTACAATTTTTGTATTCTTCTGTAGAGATAAGGGTTGCTGATTTGAAAGTATCAATTTGCATGTTAAGGTGGTAAAGGGAAAATACAGAAGCTGTTCTGTTTACTTGCAGTGACTGAGGAATTGTCTGTACACACTTTGTACTGCTGTAAATACAACAATTAAAGCAGTGACCTTCATATCTTGACAAAACTGAAGCTATGCCCAGAAGTGAAAATGAAGCCACACATCTAAATTATGGTAGTTTCATTACAGTGTGACAATGTTATCAACAAATTGAAATGAGATAGAATGTGTATCTATCACTGTAACTCTTCAAGGCCTTGATAGATGCCAGTGCTATTTTGCAGAGTTCTTGGACTGATTTGTACTTGGTAGAAATCTCCAGATGTGTATTTTAGCAACAGCCTTTGCCTAGGGTGCTGTGGACGAATTAATTATCTTACCATATAGAGTACACTGTTGACGTTCAAAATTTGTAGCCATTGTTTTGTTGTTGGGTTTTTTTTTAATCTGAGCAACTTGAGGAAATTTTAAGTGAACAGAGATTTCTCTTTTGTGCAGGTTTCCAAGTGTTCCTTGTACATGGAGATAAAAACTGGGTTTTATTCATGGTTTTCCACTATTAATGGAATTTTACAATTTCATTATTATACACACGGAGAATCTGATAGTTCTATGCTATTGCTTAAAGAGAACAACAGTCATTGAAGCAAGTTCTGAATGTCTGAGTCTTACTAATTGCTTCCAGTAATACTGCTTTTTCCTTAATGCACACAGAGGTGTCAGGTAGCAAGCAAAGAAGTAATTGAAGTTTGTTGAAGTGTGGGGGCTAAAAAGAAGTACATATGCATGCTATACAGGTGTCACTTCTTGGGTTTTTTTCATTATTTGCTGTTTGACACAGCAGAATATTTCTGATGAATCTTTTTATATATCTAAATGTTCTGTTATATAAAAAAAATATGTTTGTATGGAACGTTTATATGTCTAAACTGCTCAATGTTGTTTCTTAACAGACTGTTGCATGAAAGAATGCAAAGGTTGAAGGAGCAAATAAGCAGTATTTCCAGAAAAAAGGCCTTCAGGCCTCCAGCTCCAACCTATGATTGCTTATACCAGGAGGCTCACCAGTACATCAACAGCATAGCGCGGGTTTCTTCAGTCCAAGATCTTTTAGCCCGCCTTCTGCAGTTCCTCCGTGGAGAAAGACCTAAATCACTCCAGGCTATACAAACCCTCTTAAATGAAGAAGCATCTTGGCAACAATCACACCACCAGTTTAGAAAACACCTGGCAGAGGACTACGCTGTATTCCCCGATGCCATCATTCCACTGCAAGCCGCCATCTTACAGTTGCAACATGGCATGCGACTAGTGGCTTCTGAAGTTTATACAGCGCTCAAAAGTTTTGTGCGACCAGCTGATCTGACCAACCTCCTCACTTCTTTGTTGACATTTCCTTCTATTAGCCATGCCTTCCCCACTTACTTTGCTCGTGCAGAAATTTTATGCTCAGTGAATTCAGTTGAGGTCCTTCATGGACTTAAAAAGTTTTCTCTGAAGCACTCTGAAGGAGAATCTGAGGGCATAGAGCAGCCTTGCCCAACTCTGGAACAGCTCCTAGTGAATGCTTTGTTGCATCTTCGATGCCATGTGCTATCTAGAGGAGAGATGGACTGGAAATCTCTGCAGCTTTTCAGACATCTGTGTCAGGTAACATCTGAATGCCAGTGTCCCCAGTACAAGACAGACATGGATCTGTCAAAGCGTGTCGAGAGGAGGGCCGCAAAAATTATCAGAGGGCTGGAACACAGCTCCTGTGAAGAAAGGCTGACAGAGTTAGGGTTGTTCAGCCTGGAGAAGAGAAGGCTCCATGGAGGCCTTGTTGTAGCTTTTCAGTATATAAAGGCAGCTTATAAGGACAGAAAGAGACTTTTTACCAAGGCTTGTAGTGATAGGACAAGGTGCAACAGTTTTAAACTGAAAGGGGGTAGATTTAGACTGGATATAAAGAAGAATTTTTTTTTATGATGATGGTGGCAAGACGCTGGACCACGTTGCCCGGAGAAGTTGTGGATGCTTCATCCCTGGAAGTGTTGAAGGCCAGGTTGGATGGGGCTTTGAGCAACCTGGTCTAGTGGAAGATGTCCCTGCCCATGGCAGGGGGGTTGAACTAGATGATCTTTGGAGGTCCCTTCCCAAGCCATTCTGTGATTCTAGCTTGATAATTGTCAGTATGATGTTCTTAAACTTTTCTTCTTTTTTTCCATTGAATTGATAAAAGATAATTCTAACATAATCTAAAATATTGGATTAACTTGTTGAGATATATCAAAGCATAAAATCATAGCCTGTAATGGTTACTAAAGATTTTATTTATTTAAAAAACCAACAAAACCCAAAACTACACAAAAAAAGCCCCAGACCAAACTCTGTAGAGAGTTTCTTTATAAAATTGTTAAGAAAGGAGACTAGAACTTGGCCAAGCACTCCATTGCATACTGTTTTCTGTGCTTTTTCCTCATTGGTTTGAGAGGGCAATTTACAAATCTTCCTTCAAATTATGTGGCTTTGATTTATACTGTTACAGACAGTAGAAGAGGAGAGAGCCAAACAAGATAGATGCTGCCACTTTGATGAAATATGAGGTGATTTTAAACATTAACTTGTGCAAAAGCATGCTGCTTTGTGTTTCCATAGGCAATTATAAATGAATGGGATGAACAGGAACGCCGTGCCCAAGAGCGGGAGGCAATGGAACGCAGTCTGTACAGATACAGAAGTAAAAGTCATGGAAAAGGACGGAGTGAGGAAGAAGAGGAAGAAGAAGAATTTAGGAGGAGATTTCCCCTTCACGAAAAGGTAGCAACTGTAACGAAACACAAAAATTATGTCTGAAGTAGCTCCTGAAAATGCATGCTGTAAGTAAAATGAGATGAGGAATGAAGCAGGTTTTTCCTTCAGCCAGAAGAAAAATGTGTGGTAGATTTTGATAGAAAGGTATTAAGTACTGTGCTTTTAGTTTATTTTCCCTTCTGCTTGTAGAAGGCTTTTGGAATTAACTTCTGGACTTGAACTGTACAGTGGTTCAGCTTGAATAATCCCAGGTTACTGAATGACAATACCATTAGTTATTTGTTGTAAAATTCTGGAGTTTGATTCGTTTAGCGAGTAAGGTCTGCTGAGGTTTAATTACCTCTGAAGAAGGCTAATCTCCTTGATTAAATAAAGCTGTGAGATTTTTTCAAATGTAACTGGCCTGCATTACTGAATGATTTTGGAAGTGTGTCTTCAGCGAGCAATGTTGTGCAGTACAGAAATCCACGAGACAATTACATGTGTCAGTGTGGTGTTGGGATGCAATAGTTCAGATCTTCAAGTGACCAAACAGCATTGAGGTGGTTTATCAGCAGATGAGACTGCTGCTGCTTTTTCTGGAAGAGGTTCAGTTGGCAGCAGCTCAGGACTCACTGTACGGTGCTCTTGCCTGCTGTAGTTATGCCCCTTAATTGCTCTATTCACCTGTGTTCTGTTTCAGACTGACATCTGAGCTGTGAGGTAGGCAGTGTATCTATATAGTGCCAGCTCCAAGTCATTAGCACATTGTCACAATGCCAAAAAGTGCAAAAAGGTGGTAGGGAGGGGAGGTGTTAAAGGAAGAAATTATAATTCACCTTTGATTATCATGTAATTTGCAGGACTTTGAAGATATCACAGCTCAGGCAAGCCTAGAAGAAAAAATGGAAACTGAAGATCCATTGGAAGACCAACTGGAAGTTGATAGAGCCCTTTTGTCCAAGAGCTCTATGCAAACAGTAATGATGGTTCATCAACAGTTGTGCTTAAACTTTGCTCGATCCTTGTGGTATCAACAGAGTCTGCCTTCTCATCAGGCCAAACATTATTTCAGTACATTTATTTCCTGCTATCAGACTGGTGCATGCCTGGTGTCACAATTCTATCCTTTGATTGGTAAGATTGCTAGCAATATTTCAGATATTCAGGTTTAGCTTTGTAATGATTTATTTCAAATTAATCGTATTGCAGGTCAAGAAGCAGACCTGTTGTGGGGAAAGTGCATATATACCAATTTTCTTTTTCCAAAGAATTTGACCCATGTTCAGAATTGTCTTGGTGAAATACTTTTATGTTTAATTCTTTTACGGATTTTTTTTTTATTCCTTTTGTTAATATACAAGACCAACACAGTTTAAGAATAAACTGAATCTACTCTAGTAAGTGAAATTTTGATAACTTGCATGTGCGTAATCCTGTGGAAGACAATGCACTTGCAGAAATTTCCCAGAATTAAAATTTGCAATTAAGTTCATAAAAGAATTTGTTTAAATGGAGCTTTAATAATTTAAAAAGAAAAAAGTGTTGGGGTTTTGGGTTTTTTTTTGGTTTTTTGTGGGTTGTTTTTTTTTTTTTTTTACCCTGAATTTTAGCATGCTTGATGTGTAAATCATTATAACAATGTGTGAGACCTCAGGGTCATCACCTCTCAAAGCAGATCTATACTTCAGTTCTGATCTAATAAATGTATATGTGTGCACTTAAGAAGAAGCAGATAATGCAATAGGGCTGCTGTTTCTACAGTAACTTATTTTTGTGTTCATACCTGAGGGGTAATATATCTGATTTTGGGTTTTTTTGTGTCAGATTATTTTTTCACAGAGCCTTGTTACTAATTTTGTAGAAAATATCTCCCTCATGTACATTTATACACAGAGGAACTGTGGTGTTCTGACAGGATCACAGCCCACCTTTAGGATGCTGATTTTACTTTTATACGAAAACTTGATAAAATAGATGATGTAAACTTTAAATATGTCTCTTTTCTTCCCTACTCTCATCTCATTGCTTATGTATGGCATATTCTTATATCCTTGTAATAATAACATACTAAGGCTTGGGATACAAGAAAAAAAACTTTCTCTTCAACTGAAAAAAGAATTAATAGCATGTGTGATATCTTACTTTTTTTGCTTCCCAGGTGCCGAAATGAATGATAGTCTTCTGGGAAGCCAACTTCTAGTTAGCACTCTTCTTCACAATACTTTTTTTGAGGAATTAACTTCAGATCTTGTGCTGCAGCAAGATGGCCCATATGACTTTTACCAACATCCTAATATTCAGCAAGTCCGACAGTGCCAACCTGTCCTTGATAATTTTGCTAAAGAAGTGAATGGGTTACTGCAGGAATGGCCGGAGCATCCAGTACTTGTGCAGGTAAAGTCACCTCAACAAATGTTTAGGGAAAACTGGAGCATTTCAGAATTGCATTTGTGGGTAAATATGTGTATAGTTATGCATAGACATGTGCACGCATACACTTGCCTAGATGTCTGTATTACTTATGCAGATGTTTTGAAGTCATACCTGTTTCTTAAGAAGTATTAGGTGGTATTAGCTGTTCTATTTTAGTTGCGAAATGTTAAGTTGTATTCACTGCCTACTCTGTCTGATCTTACAGCTTTAAGTAATCTTCAACCTGCCATGCCTCAAAGATTCTTGAGGTCTTTTGCTGTTCGGGCTCATGGTTTTTTCCCAAAATGCTTTCTTTCATAGCGCTTTAAAATGGATATCTTTGGTCCCACTTACAGGGCGCCTGTGTGGCCCTCAGGTTATGTTTCTTAGACTAACACAGAAACTCAGAATTGATTGGAACTCTTTGCATTAGGTCATTTGTGCTCCTCTCCCCAAGTGTGCTGGCCTTCACTGAACTACTAGTGAGCTTATACTAAATAAAAGGAAGCAGTTTAAAATTTAAAAAAAAAAAAAAAAATCATCTCTCGCAGAGGAGGGTTATGCTAATACAAATAAGTTAAACTTCATGACTGCTTTTGTTGAAGATCAGTTACTATAGGTTGAATGCTTGGGTTTTTTTCTGCAGCTGTTGGTTGTGATGGACAGAATACGGAGTTTCCCACTCTCTTGTCCTCTCTCGAAGTTCCTGAATGGCTTGGAAATTCTTCTTGCAAAGGCACAGGTAAAAAAAGAGCAAAGGGAAACTTTTATTTTCTTTTACGTTTCCTTATTTGTATTGGTACCATGATAAAAACAACTGAAAACTGTCTGCTTGCTGGGATTTGGGGAAGTGAACTTGCTTCATGCTGTAAGTTTTAACAGTAGGAACATAATCCAGAGTACTGAATGAGGCTTGCCATGCGAAGACTAATTTCTGGCTTTGTATAAAGGGGATTTCTTTTTTTTTTTTTCTTTCTTTTTTCTTTTTTTCTCCCCAGGACTGGGAGGAGAATGCTAGTCGAGCTTTGTCCTTGCGAAAACATCTTGATTTGGTCACACAACTGATTATTCAGTGGCGTAGATTGGAGTTGAAGTAAGAACTGTCCTTCCCTACTGCTTTTTCTTAGATACCGTAAGCTTCCATCTCTGTATGGAGACACATTCCAATGCAGAATTGCCTTAATCATGGAACATGCTTCTGTATGTGTGTCTGTCCTAGTAACAGTGTGGGGAAAAAAACCCTAAAGGAGCAGTGTGCTGGCTACAGTACTTCATCCTAGTATTTTCCCAGTGTTCTACTGCTTTCTTCTTAGGGTTTACTGAGCCTGCAATGTTTTCATCTGTTTAATAACCCCCATTAAATTTTCCTTAAAATTACAGTTCAGTCTCTTGTTAAGACCATGTAAAATTCTTATATCAACAGTATGCCATGATCAGGAATTCCACAAGTCTACATCAAGTTTTGGGAAAAGAAACTTCTGAACCTGGCTCTGACTGGTTTTGTTTTACCATCCCTAGTTCCTGCATTTCTTCTCTCATATTTAATAATAGCGGCAAAGCAGTGATCCTCAAGAGCTGATTGTGTATACTAAGCATATGGGCAGATTATTCCATCCTGTAAAATTTTCCTTTAGTGTAATAGAAACAGAGAATAAAGTTTGCGTTGCTTTGGAGCCCAAACTACCCACAATATTTTTGCTTTATTTTTGTCTTCTCTCCCCTTCCTTATTGTTACCAGTTGCTGGTCAGTAAGTTTGGACAACATTATGAAGCAGCATGTAGAGAAATCCACAAAGCACTGGTTCTCAATCTATCAGATGATTGAGAAGTATGTTCAAGAACAGACAGAGGCAAACACAGAAGGTAAGTGCTGCCCTTATATGAATGTGTGATGCAGTTCCAGCAATTACTAAGGATGGGTAATTAAGGTCCTAAATGCCAGGGTCTGACAGTGCACTTTCAGGTGTAGTTCTTGTCCCCTTTGCCCTGCAATAAATTCTGTGACTGTATAGGGTGTTCCATATAGAGTGAACTTTGCTTGGTATTTATTTCTGTGTCTCTCATAGGGCCAATGTTGTAGGTGGTGTAAAGAAAAAAGATGTCTGTAAAAAGCATCTAAAAGAAAGTAGAACTGTGGTAACTGTATGTCATGCACATATAAACATTTCAAGCAGATTTGGAGGGTAGGAGGCCTCCATCTGCAGCTGGAGAAGGCATCTCATTTTTTTAACTGCACAAAGCATAATTTGTATCCCAGCTGAACTGCTTTTAACATTCTGTATAAAGCATAAAGAATTCTTACAGTAAGTGTGTTTTGGTACATACTGTTCTTAGCAAATCTGTCTGCAGGTGTTCACATTACGTAAAATAGGGGACAGAATATAGCTATCAGTCCCTTGCCTCCCCAAAATTTAATGAAATTGTAAAGATGAAAGTAGCATCCTCTGGCATGAGGCAGGGTTCTTTCAATCTCATGACTAATGCACTCACTTGACGAGCTCCAGATCCTGGGGTTATTTTACATCTCCAAGTGGACAGCATATCTTCTTCCACAGGTAATACCCTGAAGACACTGTTTTCTCTACCAAATTCTTGTAAGATCTATTTCTGTCTTCATGATTTTGAGGAGTTAAGGAACTGGCAGTGGCTAATTTGGAGTATGGCTCATCAGAACCGAAAAAGCCATTCATTCATAGAGAATAGCTATTCTTTAAATACTTGATGCACTCTGAAACTGGACATGTAGCTGGCCTCCTCACTTGCTATCTTACTGCTGCCTCTCTTGTTCCCATCTCCTTTCTTCTAGTGTTGAGTTTGTTGGTTTTACTTATTATTAAATTAAATTCTTCCCCTCCACGCCCCTTTCCTGTTTTGTTTTGAACCTTCCCTAATAGTGACCTGATATTTAGTTGGAAGTTTACAAAGAAAAGACAATGATTTTCCTGTAGAGTTTTTTTGTTTGTTTGTTTTCTCCCCCTTTCCTTCTAAATTTCTGGTGTGACGTTCAGAAACTGAGCAAATGGATCTGAAAACGCTGGTCAGCACACTACAAGCTTTCATTGAAGGAGCCACACTGGGAGAGTTTCATGTGCGACTTCAAGCACTACTGGTGTTCCACTGCCATGTCTTGCTGATGCCTCAAGTAGCAGAAAAGGGTAAGTTGTTAGCACTACATGTGTTGAGTCTTCTTTACAACAACCTGACCATCAGGTATTCAAGACTTTCCAAACAGATCACTAAGCTCATAAATACAACACAAGCCTATGCTGCTGTTTTCCCCATTTTCATGAACAATACTGTTGGTCAGTTTATCCCATCTTCTGGTTTTGCTAAGCTTAATGATTACAAAAAAAAAAATGGTATTTGTTTCTCCTTGATACTGAAGAATATCCTGTTTTAAAAGAAGCTTGTTATTGTCTGTCCCTTAGACGTTCTGTGCAGCATCCTGTGGAACCTATACAATTACTATAAGCAGTTTTCAGAGTGTGTTGAGGCCAGAATCGCTGAACTTCGGCAACCTATAGAAAAGGAACTTAAGGTAAAAGGAAACTTTGCTCAGACAATATACTGATCAAATCAAAGGAACAGTGGATCAGATATTATTTGAGTTTGTATACAACAGCTCTGTTTGCCACTGAAATCCCTACTATACTTCACGTTTTCTGTGGCAAGAATTTATTTTTGAGGTGGGGGATTGGTTGAAGTCTTCAATGTTTGCTTAGTCCCATTTAGCCAAGGCAGTTTCTAGCCAGTAGTGAAGCCCCTTTGGATTTCAAAACATTTGACTATGCAGCAGTTTTAGCATAAACACATATATTAATAGAATAAGATGCCTATGCGATAATTTGCTCACTTACTAAAATGTCTTGCATTTTAAGACCGCCAGATCATCATAGCTGATCAGCTTTAAAGATCATCTTTTATATGCAAATACTTCATTGCATTTATATAAGTAATCCCATTGATAATTTGTTTTCCTAATAGGAATTTGTGAAAATTTCAAAGTGGAATGACGTCAGCTTCTGGGCTATAAAACAATCAGTTGAAAAAATACGCAGGTAATTCAGAGCTTGGAATTAAGCTCCATATTTGGAACCTTTCTTCTAGATGATTTCTCTGTGATGTTAAATTTGAATGCAAGAATGTTTCTTCTGCTCATAACACAGTGGAAACATTTATTTCCAGCAGCTGAGAGATTTCCAGGATTATACAACTCAGTAACATTTTTGCTTTCCTTTGGTAATTAGGACCCTCTTTAAATTCATGAAAAAGTTTGAAGTTGTTCTGGATGAGCCATGTCGGCCTGCCTTGGTGGAAATTGGTAAGGAAGAGCAGTTGGACTGCTTGCAAAAGCAGGAAGAATCTGAGAACAAAGAGACCAAAGTTCAGAGGCTAAACAACGCATTAAGAAAAATTCTGTCTGCTCGAACAGATGTTGCCAAGGTGACTGTATTCTTTATTCTGTGTGGGAAGGATATTTTCTCTATTCTCATCTATATGTTGCTTTTCACTGATTTATGCAGAAAAATCTTATGTAAGTGTTAAATCTGTTGAATATATCATCAACTTTTTGGTCTTACTTGTCTTCACTGTTACGAAACACTGCAGATGGGTGGGAATGCAGCATGGAAAGACAAGCATGTTCTGTATTGATTTGGCATGTTATCTGTGCTCTAATATAGAGATGATAGCAGTTAAGCATTTCATCTCCAAGTTGCTTGCATATTGTCTGCAGCAATTTGTTAACTTCCCTACTAGTGCAGTAATATGGACTGTGAGTTGAAATTATTATTACCGTTTTTTTTCTAAACAAGGACCCAGACAAATGATCGTGTAGCTGTAGGATTTGTGCATATATAAGCTCTGATTAAATACAAAATTACTTTGAGCTTGAATCCTGATAGGGGAATGCACTGCATTGTCGTATGTTTGCTGTTGGCTGGACAGCTTGTGTGCTGTGAACATTTGCCTTGGACTAGCTGATATGTGGGAAATCCTACTCCACAGTGCCACAGTTTAGTGTGTCCCTAAGTTGTCCAGCTCAGAGAGGAAGTCAACAAATTTTCTTCCTGAAATAGATTCCTATTCACATCCATTAGTTTTTATTAATAGGATGGAAGGAGACAATCATAACTCATCAGAATTTGGGGGTGAGTGGGAAATGCTCATTTACTCTCAGCTTCCAAGGCTTTGTTCAGTTTCTTCAGACCAGGAGGGTGGCTGATCCTGCTCTTGTCCTGTGACAGTCAGGAAGGTAGAGTGAGGAGGCATAAATCTGATGCAAATCTGATGTGTTTGGTTGTGGGTTTGGTTTGTTGGTTGGTGGTTGGTTGGTTTGTTTGCAAGCCTGTTACTGATGGTTAACGGGGTTGTTGGTTTCACTTGTTGTAGTTTCATGTTGTCTTCATTCCTTAAACAAGATGCATGCAAACTTAAATTGAATAAACCCTAGCGATTAGCTTTGGGCATGCTGGGGGATTGCTTCTGTTATTAAATAATTTCTATTTGCGTAGTTTTTTTGTCATTCTTTAGCAGTGCAGTTAAATTTGTGTCTAGTGGAAAGTAAGTGATGGTGTTCTTATCTCATGCCCTGAGGGCATTAGTGATTTAGGTTAATGCGCCTTTGAGCTTGGAAGGCTGAGGAAGCTGACCTGAAGCAGTGATAACCTCTATGAAAGAGGTCATGACAAACACCTAAGAGAGTAGGATCATAGAATCTTCCATTTTTTTGGCTGTTTTCAAAACTAATGTATGCCTGACATGCATACGTTGTGATTTTGTTCAAAGGATCATGTGGGCATGTTTGGGGGTTTCAGATGAATGCAGAATTTAGCCCTTGTTTTTGCAGTGATTTACTCTTAATGGTCAAATAAGACAGCTTTAAGTATGTGTGTGTAATTGGACTGTTTCGGGTTTGTTGTTTTTTTTTTTTTTTTTTTTTTTCCTCAGAGGGCACTCCCAGAAGAATGTCAGAATGGTATTACATTTCATACAGAATCTCTTCAGTATCGTCTGCCTAAGCTTACTAAAAAAATGAAGAAAATGTGTACAACAGTTACAGAAAATAGTTCATTCTTAAGGCTGGTGGAAAATCTTGACCAGTTCACAGGTTAAGTATTCTTGTGATTTCCACACCATAATTGACCTATGTAACATAAATGGAACAAATCAGGAAAAAGTGTAGATATATATAGTTCCTTTCCCAGACTATGTTCCTATGGCTGCTTTGTGTACGTTAAGTTTTCACATCTCTTATCTTTCCCTGCTGTCTTCTATACAGGTGATATCATTGTTTCTGTAGTTGAACTGCAAAATTTAACATTTGATCAGACAGCAGATAAGGAGAAGCAGAAATCAGAGGCAAAGCATATTCAGATGCAAAAGCAACGGGCTTTGTCAGATCTTTTTAAAAGCCTTGCTAAAACAGGTGAGCTTTGACTAAAAGTGTGCTTGGTTTAAAAGTACAAAGTTCTTAAGCATTTTACTATTTTTGCCAGTACATCTAAACCCACCATAATACTATGTTCTTGAAGTCATTGACCTACTAATACGTAGAAGCATTTAAGTCTCTTTCTCTTCATCTGTTGACTATGAGGCCTGGTGCGTTAGCCCTTTCAAATACCTTCTATTCTTCTTACATTCCATTAGATGTACAACAGTAGCTTTTTTGAAGCAGATATCTACTTTATCTCCAGTCAGAAGTCACTGCCCAGCTTTTAGAAACAAGAGGGAAGCTCATTATCTTGTATCCATTCTCTGATCCAGGACTGAAATTAAGTTAGCCCGTTAGAATGAGAGCCCATCTCTTGATTGACAGACTGGCAGAGATCAGACTGACAGAGGTGTGGTTGAGCCATGGAGACTGAATGGTCTGTTGATGGAATATTGATGGTTGCAGGCACCCTGTTCAGCAGCCCAGTCTCCATTGCTCCCCTGGCTAGTTTTAAGGTAAAGGACCTACCCAAACTATTAATTCTTGCCTTTCCTTTGGTGTTACATTAAATTATTCATCAACTGTTCTTAGTCACTGAGCAGTTTAGAAAGCAGCAGACATAAGCAGTCTTGTTAAATAAACAGCTGTCTGACAGCATTTTGCTAAGTTGTAGGCAGAAGTAAAAATTACTGTAACTTTGCCAATTTTTTTCTTCTTTTTTGAAGAGAGTTTAGTGTTTTGGTGCTTCTCTTGGAAGCCATAGCTTCTGGCCTGCAGTGATCCTAAGAACCAACCTCCCTCCCTCCCTCTCTCTCTCAAAAAAGACTTCTGTTCCTCATGGTTGCAGAAGGAAGCTTGGAAACATCAACTTAAGGGTTCCAAGTGGGCATGATTTTGATAACAAACTAACTCAAAGTGTCACAACATTTGGAAAGTAAATGAAAACAAAAACATCCTAAATGCTTTCTAGGGAGGCCGGAGGAGGCTTCAGCTGTAGTTTTGAGTATTTGTAGTTTATGCTACCTAAATGAGTTGATGTGTGTACTGAGTAAATAGTTCCGAGAAGATTAAGGTCTTTTTGTATTTAGATGACTGCAAACACAGGTGAATCTTCAGTGGGTGGTTTCCAGCACATACACATTTCTGGTGTTTGGCATTTTTGGCACCCACTGGTGCCAAAGGAGTATCTGCCATTGCTGCCCTGTGAAGTTCGTGCTGGAGGAGTGACATACTGTAATGATTTAATTAACACGTGGGATTTGAATTCTTTACTGGGCTCTGTCTTTGATTTCAGGTGACACCTTTACCTTCCTCATTCATCAGCCTTTTCATGTCTTACAAATGAGGTGATTATCCCTAACTCAGCTTTCTTAAAGGACCAGGAGCCGTGAAAAGTGTTTGTGCTTAAGACTTGTTCTCCATTTTGTTTGGAAAAATGGCAATATAACCTAAATAGTTAATGAGTATTTCTTACAGGCTCTGCTTACCTTCAGGATACTTTGAAAGTGTTTTAATTGGCTTGAGAGAAATGAACTTGTTTAATGCAGTTTTAAAACTAGCTAAAGTAACTGTCTTAAGACTAAGTTTTAAAAGTACATGGCTGTAACTTTCTCAGGCTGTAGCCTGCCTTACAGGTTCAAGGCTTTTTATTTTTTCTCTTGGCCTCCACCACCAACCCCCTTTATAAACACAGGTCTACGCTTGTCTTATTTCAGCTGTGTTCTTCAGCTATGTTCAGCTGTAGATAGCTAAACGACAATGTGTTCTTACATTACCAAACTTGCAGCATGTTCAAAGACTTGTCAAAATCAGCATCAGGAAAAAAACTACATCAGAAGATTTTATATCTTAATACCAACTGTATGAGTGACATTTTTCATATAAAAGAAAGCAGGCATAAAAGGATGTGTGTTCAAATGTCATTCCAGGTTTGTCATACCGGAAAGGTCTGTCTTGGTCCCGTTCAAAAGACTATCGTGAAATACTCTACTTACGTCCACTGGACTTGCGTACTGCATTAGGTGTAGTAAATTGTACACATGAACTGGATGCCACGTATGTACACAGTATTTCCAACCTTTAGATTGTATGAATTGCAGCTGTAATATATAGAATTTGTTGCATGTGGATTTAGACTGGAATTTCTGGACTGTAATTAATTTAGGATTTTACATATTCCCTTCCCTTCCTCCTATTACTTCTCAGTTTGAAAATCCTGTACGTACTCTACTGGCATGTACAACTGAGCAAGGGTTTTGGTTTTCTTTAATTTGCACTTTTGACAGCTCTACCATCAGTTTCATTGTTTCTGTGAATTAGATTTCAATTATCCCTCCACAGTCCAGCTTTGCCTGGGATACTTTGCTAGCATCATATTAGAATGTAGACAGCGAATGATTTTATTAAAGATGAGTTGTAATTTACAGGGATTACTTAATTGTTTTGCCTTCATTGAATAATGGGTTCAAATACAGACTTCAAAGTGGGCATTTCTGGAAAAAATTACCTAGAGGAAAGATGTTCTTTCAGATGCTTCTCTGTTGTTTTTCTGGCAGCAAGTGATTTTTGTCATTGAGACATGCTGGTTATTGTTCTCCTTAGAAGTAAGGGTCTAGTTTATAATATCATTCATCAAGGCCCAAATAAAGGCTTCCCTATCAAGCTGGATTTAGCTGCATGGGGGGAAGGGAAAAAAAAAAAATCACTATTTAGGTGTTAAATGATATTCAAACATATTTTGCTGCTATTGCTTAGGGTTTCCTTAGAGGTTTTTGTTTTAAATTAAATGTTTTCTTAAGACTAGAATACTTGTGGAGAAAATGAAGAATTACAAGTCCAATGCATTTGCAAAATAACGACTTGTAAGCAAATCTGTTAGGTTGAAGAGCTGACCTGGTGGTTCCAGTGTGCTGAAGTACTGAAATTGTACACCTTTCTAATATCAGACTTTTTTTGTGCTCTGTCAGGTTGCTGACAGAGATTTCTTCTGCCTGGGATGGATGCCAGAAGTACTTCTATCGGTCGCTGGCACGCCACTCTAGACTTCAGACAGCATTGTTAGCACCTGCCAAGGTAAAAACACCAAACTAAAAATAGAAATGCTACTCCTGTTTACTTTACCAGCTTAGACTGAAATTTTGTAGTAGTAAAAAGGTGATGTGAGACAATACTATGTTCTGTAATATGATATGAAATGTGGTATTTTGGGACCAATCATTTAAATGCAGCATTTTAAAAACTGTTGTTTTATGAATGAACAGTATCAGTTTAGTGAACTAAGTTAATGATCTGTTCGATGTACAGTATCTTTCATCCCAACAGATCCCAAATTGCTACTTTTTGTGCATGAAGGAAACTCCCGAAATGCTGAATCAAAACTTTTTAGGAAAACAAAACCAGGATTAGTTGGTGCTCGTGAAAAATATCAGCTGAGATTTATAATTGGGCGTAACTGGATCCTGTGTCTAACACAAAAAGTGCCATTATATTTCTTTGCTTAAAAATTGGTCTAAAATCAGTAGGAGGAACAAATGGGCTCTGCCAAATCAGTACCGCTTCTCCAGTATTCCAGGAAAAAGGGATCTCTTCCAGATGCTGCTCTTCTCACTATGCTTCACCCTTTGTTTTACAACATGATCTTGTCAAATGTCACAGCTAATAATAGCCATAAATAATGGAACCTAGCTGTGATCAGTTTTGCTCTGTTGTGAACATTTATTCTAAGCTTTAAAATGGGATCCCTTTTAATGAAAGGAGTGAAAGTAATTTTTGGTAAATCTGGTAAAATGAATTTTGGAAGTGGTTTTAGCAGTGGTCATGAATATAAAATTTTAGGCTTTAATTTTAGATTTTAGTTATCATTTATGTAAGGTAGCTTTACTATTTGGAACTAAATTCCTGATAAGGATTGCTGCAGTGGAGTGCAATTTAATATGACTGTGGTTGCAGAAGCTACTTGAAAATCAAATTTGTATGCAGGATATATGGAAGATGCAGAAAAATTAATATGCGGAAACTGTAATAACTATAATTTTTGTCTGCATTTTAAGACTTGTTCAATTAAACCATAACCTTTCAGCCTGCTCAGTGAAATGGAGGCACAGAGAATGTTGTTGTCTGCTTATACATCTAACTGTTCCCTCCCACTTTTTCTGTATCTGTTTTCTTTAGGATATTGGACTAGGTAGCGTTGAACGATGCAAAGGGTTCACTGCACACCTCATGCAGATGCTTGTCAGACAGAGACAATCTCTTACTGCATTGACAGAACAATGGATCTTACTGAGGTATTTTGCATTTTCCAACATTTAAATGTTGGCAAGGAGTTAGACAGTAAGCAGTTCAGTTCAGAAAGATGGAAAATATGGTAGAAGAAAATAAAATTCTTCCCCCTACTTCCCCATTTCTCTCATCCTCTCAATTAAGCCTAGATAGAAAAGATTCTGGGGGCACGGGGGGGGGAAAAGGGGGCAAAACAAGGATGTTAGATGTTGTTTATCCCGTCAGCACAGCCAATATTTTGGAATAAAAATAATTTGGGAAAACAAGTTAGGCATACATGAAGACCATAAAATAATAACTGTAGTTAATTACACAGTTAAACCATTAAACCTATAGATTGTTAAATCTCTCTCTCATTTGGTATTGGCCTAAGTTAATTTTGGCCATGTTCGAGTTGTTGGTTTGATCTGGAGCAAATAAATGATCTGGATGGCACTTTGAGCCAAAATGAAAAAACCTCAACCGCTTACAAAGAAAAATTCTAGAAAGGTGGGAGATACTAGCTCTTGTATCAAAACTGCAAAAAGAAAAGTGTATAGGAAATCTTTCTTACTTGTGATTTTTCACTCTGTTGCTTGACTCATCAGTTTCACTGCAAACTCTACTGTTCTGCATATTTGTGCTCATCACTAATGTAATCCATAAAACTTTTTGAAGTTAGGTCAGGAGCTATTTCCTTTGTACAGGGAAGGAAATCTAGACTGGAGATTACTGGTGCAAAATTTGTATTAACCCTAGGAAACTTGGAAAAACAAACAAAAAAAACCCAACAAAACAAACAAAAGCCCAAAACAGCAACTCCTCAACTTCTGAGTTGCAGGAATATTAAAACTTCCAAGACACTTACCTGCATTGCTGTGACTTTCACTGCAAATCAGGTTAATCATTTGTTATGAGCTGACTGTTACACAGCGCTTCAGAGAATGAAGGTGTGTTAGAATCTAACCTGCTTTTATAATGGAGGAAAATGAACAATATTTGAGTATCAGGCCAGGAGTTTAAGGATTGTTTGAAAAGATGGTATAGGTTCTGAGAAATCTTACAAAGCCCTGTTTTCAGGACAACTCAAACATATGCAATGGAGAGAAAAAAATTAAATAATTAAACAAAACTTTAAAAAAAAAAAAGACTGTCACTGTAGTTTTTCCAGAAAAAGTTTGATTTCCACTGAGTCTGTATTATCTCGATCTTTTATTAATTTAGTCTGAAGGCTGAGCTTTTAAATGGGAAGTATAACATAAAACTCAATGATTGTAACTACTTCTTCTTAACTAGGAACCTCCTGAGTTGTATACAAGAGATGGATTCTAGGTTGACTGCTGACAGAGAATATAATGTAGCATTTCCTCCTCAAGACGGTATTCAACACTGGACTGACAGACTGCAGCAGCTTTCCATGCAGTGCATGATGGTTCTCGAGGAGCTGTCTTGGTTTATACAATGCTGCCCAAAAGAAGAGTTAACAAAGCACAGTGACAGTGAAAGGACAGATGTCAAAACAAACACTTTTCAGGGTTCAGGACCTGAAATGGGAAATGTTTTTACGGGAATACCTGACCTAATTCCCTCAGAGCTAAAATACTTGTCTCCAGTAACAATTGAGCAACTGCCTCCTGGATGCAGGATGCGAAATAAGGATCAGTTATGGCTGCAGCTAGCTACACAATTGACTGTGATGCTGGCAAATGTGAAGACAATGAAAGCAGAAGTGGACAAAGTAAGACAACAGTCATGTGAGACCTTGTTTTATTCCTGGTGAGTTCTACATGTGCATGAAATTGAATCTCTGTATGTTTTATGTTTATATAAGATGTGTGAAGTCATCTTGAAAATGTTTGCCTATGCATATCTTGAAAAATGTGTTCAGGTGCTCTTGAAGCTTGTTTCCATTCATTTTTCTTGCAACATGCGGTGCCTGGCTTTTTAAACAAATGTATGTGTCTTCTCCCACTCCCCTGACAAGTCAGAAAAAAAATTTGGTCCATCTCAGTTTCTCAGTTTGTCTTTGGTCTCCTGGGATTTCATCCCCGTAGCTCCATAGTAATGAGGTGAATTTCAAATGTCAATTTAATGAAGAAATTTTTATTTTAAAAGAAATCTGTGGCCTATTTAATAATAATCCTTTCATTTTCTGTCCGCTTGAAACAGTGTGAGTATAAGTGGCACATCTACTTGTCAAACATTTTATTAAATAAGTTCAAGATGGAGATCAGCTGCCTCCCCCTCATCTGTGCCCCAAGAAGAGGTTTAATCTTAAATTGAACTGTTTGTTCTTCTTTCAGTATTAAGGTGTTTTTTGTTGCAGGAGAGATTTTGAAGTTTGCACATCAGCTATGAGTTGTTTGCTTGAAGTCTCAGCTCAGTTACAAGGCATAGAGTCCCTGTTTCTTCCAAATGGGGAAGACAGGCAAGCTGCAAATCAGATGGCCCTCATCAAGAGCCTAAAGTATATACAAGAAGTAGTTAATAACACATCTGCAGATTTCACAGCCTGGAGAACACAGCTTCTTGCTTCCATGTCAAATTGCAGTGGTAAGGACAATTCTTCTCTGCCCCTTTTGTAATTTATATAAAGATGTAAGAATTCATTAGTTTGGTTATTGCAGAAGATGGCTCCATGTTATTGGGATATCCAGAAACACTTGATGAGATTCAAACTTGCAAAATTTAGTCCAGACTTAATTTGTGCAGTAATATTTTTCCCCCTTAGTCACTGGTGATGACAGATCTTACACCATAGTTGTAGGTCAGAATTAGCAAGGATATTTTAGTAGAACTATGTAGGAAAAATTGCATAGTGCTTATCATGGTGCTTGCATAGGGGAAACATAGTAACCTGTAATTTAATGTGTTTCTATATAAAACTGCCTGTGTTCTGGTTCAAAAGGAAATCAACGGTCAGATGAAGAGTTTGTGGAGCACTTCTCAGCAAAAGTGGAAACTGTTATCCGTGTTGTTCTGTATGCTATCCAGTGTTTGGTAGAGAGAAAACAGGAAGATGGAAAAGAGGAAGAAGAATCTCCAGAGGAAAATGGTAAGTTTGTTAATTTACTTAAGGGGGAGGAGGAGAGTTTAAACTATGCAAACCTAAAAAAATTCCTTAAACTGTGTGTCTAGCGGAGGTACCAATAAACAAGCAAATTGCTGTTTTAGTAGAAGTTGTCTGTTTAAACACATAGGATGGAAATTTCTAGATTGCTTGCTATAACCTTTTTAGAATATCTAACTTGATTTCTGTATTTTTTATGTATTTCAAACAAAGAGGATGCAGCGTCATTTGACGTGATTAAAGCAGGACATATAACGAAGCTTTTGGATGAAGATCTCTTGGCTGATTTGGATTCTTTGCATGTGCAGAAAGCAATTTTAGCAGTTTCAGAACTACTGGAGAACCTGAAATCTTATGGGGAAGATTACACTTCAGATAAACATACGGTAAAATTGTTCTTCTCAAGAGTTTTTGGCTCAAGGGTCTCAAAAGATTTGGAATTGTGAACTTTGGTGGTTAAATGTGCATTGCTTCTTATTGTCCAACACCTTAGAACTAGAAGCATGTGAGAAATTATGACCAAATGTAGGTACTTTTCTGTACTGCAAAAGCCAGATGTTCATTTAGTAAGAAGGAAAAGTGTTAGTTTTTGTGAAAATCTAGAAAAAGCTCCAGCAACTTCAGAAATTGTATTTAAGCTCGCCTACTGATATTTTTGGTTTGAGCATCTGTTTTCAGTCTCTATCATCACTCTCTCTGAGGTGCGTCTCAGTATGTACATAATCATGTTTGACAGCTGTTCTTTGGTTTTAACTGCAGTTCTTCAACCAGTCCTGCTACTTGCTTCTGCGTCTAAAGCCCATGCTCTGCAAGTATTCAGACCTTATCCTGTTCTACCTCACTGTTTCACTGGCGTCTCACAGGAGTACTGGAAAATTGCTTTCTGTTCTAACTAGCATTTTTACAGAGCTTGCCCAAAAGGTAAGTTATTAGAGATAACAGTGCATATATGGTAAGCATATATTTGATGCATACAAAAGTCTGAAGTAGAAACTAGGTTGAAAGATTTACTTACTAATACAGAAAGTTTTGAGTTTCTGTTTGCCTTTGTGTAGGGGTTTTGTCTGCCAAAAGAATTACTTGAAGATGAAGCTGGAGAGGGAGCAACACAGTTTCATGATTACGAGGACGGTGGTATTGGCGATGGGGAAGGCAAGAAGGATGTGAGCGACAAAATAGAAAGTGAAGATCAGGCAAGTGTTTGTGGTTGTTCTTGGTTTAATTCAAGTAAAACTGAAAAAGCCCTTGAAATCTGTTGTGGGTGTTTCAGGTAAAAGAAATGTGAAGTTACCTTCAGTCTCCTATTTAGGTTGGCTTTTGTCTTTGCATATAAGCTTATAAGTATTGTGGTACTTTAAGCTTTAATATGTAGGCAAGACCCATTATAATTTTTTGCTTTACCAATAATTCAGATAGAAGACAGTTTTCAGAAGGGTGAAGAGAAGGAGAAAGAGGATCAAGATTCTAAACCAGACATTGAAGGAGAAGACAATGCAATTGAAATGTCAGAAGACTTTGAAGGAAAAATGCATGATGGAGAACAGGAGAAAAAAGGTTTGGTCATTCCACTATGACAAACTTACCAGAAATGTTAAACATCAATCCAGTAATGATTGATACTTTTATATAACTAAACATATCAGCAACAGAGTAGTGCCATTTTGTATATGAATACTAAGAAATACTAATATGAACGCTCAGAAGTGTACAAAGAAAACACTGTCTCTCTTCTTTCACTGTGATGGTTTTGGAATGAAGGGAGACGATTCTTTCTTCCTGTTGTGAGCTGACCTATAGATGCAGTTTAAAATTAGTCACTGACTTTGTGGAGCTGTTGAAGATCAACAGAATACTTGGGAATATGGCTGTAGCTAACTTCAAAACCTGACTAATGAAGCTGTTGCTAACTTGTAAGCAATGAAAAGAATTTAACTTTACCTTTTTAAAATGTAAAAAATAGCAATGTTTAGTAGATTCATTCCAGTGGCTACTCCCCCAAAAGGTAGCAGTTCTTCACCTTAAAGGGTAACAGCTTGAACATCTGATGCTGATGTGGCTTATAAATTACGGTAGTGTTAATCTACTTTCAAATCTCTGACAAAATGCTAAGAGTAAGTTCATCTGTGCAAGAAGGGAAATTCCCAAACTAATAAACAGATAAAGTGGAATGGACCTTCCCCCTCCTCCCAGTAATGCCAAAACGTTTTGAAAATGGGGGACGGAATAGGGTTAGGAATAGAGAGTTTAAATCATCCAAGTTTTGCACCAGGGACTTGTTAGCCCAAGGGAGAGAATGCTGTGTGTGTCCATATGTCTGAGAGAACACTGAACCACAATTTAGGAGCCTGCTCTTCTGGGTGTTAATATATGTGTCTTTTTCCACATCTCTCAATTAACTGCATAGGCTGATGAAATTAAGGTGCTAAGTAATGACTGCTTGTTTATTTCTGAAGTTAACAAAAGAGTTATCTTTATCTTTTCTGTACTGAAACACATTCTGAATTATATGCAGAAAATGATGAAAATTCAGATGAAGAGGAGGAGCTGGATAAGCAGATGGGAAATCTTGATAATGCTGAAGCTGATGATAAACTGGATGAGAGGCTCTGGGGGGATGAAGATGAAGATGATGATGAAGATGCCAGTAGTAAAACAGAAGAAACTGGACCAGGAATGGATGAGGTAAAGAGAAAAGGGGTGGGAAGAAGAATATCAAAGGAATTAAACTGTTAACTTGATGTGACCTAGACAGTGAACTCCCTTGCACAGCTCTTGGTCTTGGAAAGGAATAATTTGAGTGTATCACAAGTTATTTAGTGTTGTAATTTTTTCTGTAGGAGATGATGTCTTGTCACTCCAGACTTTGAGAAGCAGGTAGCATAATTGAGTTTCTTCTGAATTTGTTGGTTAATAGGAGGATTCGGAGCTCGTTGCAAAAGATGACAATCTGGGCACAGGAAACAAGGATAATAAAAAACAGCCTCCCAAGGATGAGGAAAACGAGCAGCAAGAAGAGGACAGTGGAAACAAAGAGAAAATCCATGCACAAATTGATGAGGTACAAAGGATTTGGACTACATAGAGTATCTTGCTGTTAAACAATATCCTGTTGCTCACATCATGTGTTTCTGAGAATTTGAAATGCTCTTTATTTAACACTGAAGTGCACTGAAAAATGTTAGTTCATCTCAGAGCTAAAAATAAACCATATTGCATCCTTTATAATATGCATGTTTTCTGATCCATAATCCAGAAAGAATTTTTGTTTGCACTAACCTGAATTTGTCCTGGCTGCCAGAGCAGACTTTACACTGAATTGATGTTTTGATGGACAAAGCTTAAAAGTTCTTGTTCTGTTATGTTTAACAATAGAAACATCTTAAGTCAGTAGGACTCATCCCAAGAATCTGCATACAGTATGCTTGAGGATTCTGCATAGTATGCAAGAATGCTTTTACCATCTGCAAGAGTGCAGATTCTGTTCACAATCTTTCAGCTAGGAAAACTGGATTCTGAACACAAGATGTGCTGTTTTACAGTTTATGTAAATGCATTTGCTGAAATTAATCTTTCTGCTATTTATACATAAGGATGTGTACCACTGTACCCGTTTTTAACTGATCAGAATGTAATATAGTATCCAGTATTTCTGTGTCCTAGAGAATTCAGTAGTATCTTATTTCTTATCTTTGCCTTTCCTCCCACTTATTACATACATGTTTTTGTTTCCCGCCGCCCCCCGCCCCATTATTTTGCTGACAGCGTGAATATGATGAGAATGAAGTAGATCCTTATCATGGCCAGCAAGAAAAGCAGCCTGAAGTTGAACCTTTGGACCTCCCTGATAATTTGAACCTGGAGAATGATGAGAAGAGTGAGGAGGAGGAAGAGGATGAAGGTAGAGCTGAAAATCTCTCTACAGAATCCCGGATGAAAGCCAAATGGAAAGAGGGAGGAACAGTCAGATAGTGAGCTCTCTTTCTCTATAGAAAGAAGAGAGGTGCTGGTAGGATTCTATATAACAAGAAGGTGCAAATTCACTTCTGTGTGTCAAAATCACTTGGTAGTGTTAGGTTAATGGTTGGACTGGATAATCTTAAAGATCTTTTCCAACGTAAATGATTCTGTGATTCTATGGACCTGTTGGAGCGGGTCCAGAGGAGGGCCACAAAAATGAGCCAAGGGCTGGAGCATCTCTCCTACGAGAACAGGCTGAGAGAGTTGGGGTTGTTCAGTCTGGAGAAGAGAAGGCTGCGGGGAGACCTTAGTGCGGCCTTTCCGTACTTAAAGGGGGCCTATAGGAAAGATGGAGACAATCTTTTTAGCAAGGCCTGTTGTGACAGGACAAGGATTAATGGTTTTAAACTAAAAGAGGGTAGATTCAGACTAGATATAAGGAAGAAATTTTTTACGATGAGGGTGGTGAGGCACTGGCAGAGGTTGCCCAGAGAGGTGGTAGAGGCTCCATCCTTGGAAACATTCAAGGTCAGGTTGGACGGGGCTCTGAGCAACCTGATCTAGTTGAAGATGTCCCTGCTCATTGCAGGGGGGTTGGACTAGATGACCTTTAAAGGTCCCTTCCAACCCAAAGCATTTTATGATTCTATGAAAATACCAAGATACCGAATGCAGGCCAGATAAGAACCTAACATTACAGCATTTTCCTTTACCTCCCTTTCACGCAAACTGTGGAGCAGGCTTTCTCATATTATCCAAGTGATACCCCCTAATTTATACTACAAGCTCCTTACTTCATTGTCCAGTTGCTTTTGTGGTTTCAGGTTTTTTCTATGATACTTACAAGCATTTGCACTCAAAGTCAACTGACTGTCAAGAATATTAGGTTAAAGGAAGTTAACAGGAATTAATCCTGCTGTCTTAGTTACAAACCAGTTGTGACTTAAAGAAATTATCTGCTAGAGAAAATCATAGATTCTATGTATAGAATTCTCAGTATTTTCTCTAAGACTTTTTTGATAGGCTGGGCAGTTTTATTCAAAATATCTGTAATATTCACTGTTTCTGTACTTCACTGAAAGTTTTGTATACTTTCTGATACTGTTAATCCAGAAGAAGAGAATGCTTTTGAAGTAGATGAGAAACCTGTTGATTTAAATGAGGCAGAGACGACAGAAGAACAGAACGAAGAGGATACTGGTGAGACAGAAAGAGATGATCAAGATGTAGAACCAGCTGAAGAAGGTGTTTCTGAAGATAAAGAGGAGAATGATGAGGATGAAGGGGACAAAGATGCTGATGATCAAGAAGAAAATGCAGTGAACACTGAGGATGCAGCAGCAGAAGAGGAGGAGTCACAACCACCTGATGAGGAAAAAAAAGAATCTGATGAAGATAAGGGAATCCCTGCTGCTGACCAAGGTCTTCAACCTCAGGTAGACAGTAATAAATAAAAGCTTGATTTTTTTTTTTTTTTTTTTATTTACCTTGTACAGGACTTAAGAAATGGATGTGTTCTAAGATACTCTGAAACAAATTTGACATTGAGTAGGTGTAATGTTAGTGAAAATCTTCATTAGCTAACAGAGATGTGCTTACTTATTAAACTGGTGTATTTCTGTCATCTGTATTCCTGTTACCTCCTTGGCCTTCTGTTTCCTGATGGCTTTTTTTGGAATGTTAAAATAAACTGATGTTATTTCAGGAAGAAGAGGGTAAAGATAATTCGGAGATGGATGAAGAGATCCCTGAGCATGAGGAAAGAGCGGAGCATGAGACACAAGGGCAGACTGGGCAAGAAAACCTGCAGAGTGACAGTGCTGTTGAGCTGGCTGGAGAGGCTTCAGAAAGAGACCAGTCTAAAGAGGTAAATTACATGGAAGTGACCTAGTTAAAAATGCTGAACTTGTGAATATGCTTTCAAGTTACAATCAAGGAATTGCAGCTATATTTTTAAGAATTGTCTAAGATTCAATTTTTAGAACACCAATTATAAATTCACTGAAAAAAATTGAAGACCATGTAGATACCATGCAGTTTTCACTGCTGTGCAGGTAAGTTTAGGCTAACTGTTAAGCTGCGGAACTGTCTTGTCTGCTCTCCATAAGAATAATACTTGCAGTTGTGAGCTGTTCATCATTCACAATAGAAAGTAGCAAAGCATTGCAGTTTAACTTCTCAAATTTGTCTACAACAGTTGCTAAATCCCTTTTCAGTTACCGTTGCAATTTTTTTGGTCTCTCAGGAATATGGAAGTGGAGCTTCAAGTGCAAATCAATCTGAAGGCCACGAATCGACGCGCATGGCCCGGATGGCTTCTCAGAAGCAAAGCAGAAAAAATACCCAGGTTCATTACTTCTTTTTTTTTTATTTTTTTTTTATTTTTTTCTTTCTTTTATTTTATTTGAATGTCTTAATATTAACCAGCAAATAGGCAGGACTCAGTTTCTCCTTGTTAGAACTCTTGTTCTAATTGGTGTTTGGTTGCACCTCACTTGAAGTTCACGGTGTTAATTTGTTTTTTTCAGAGTTTCAAGAGGAAACCAGGTCAGGCAGACAATGAGCGCTCAATGGGAGATCATAATGAACATATCCACAAGCGACTGAGAACCATAGAATCCAGCAGTGAAGCAAAGCAGAATACAACTCAGCCTGAACAAAACGTGGAGGAGGCTGATGCATTTGAACATATCAAACAAGGCTCTGAATGCTATGATGCACAGACATATGGTACGGTGGTACTGCTGGGTGTAAAGGGTTGTCATTGCAGAATCAAATCCTGAAGTGCTCCTATTCACTGTAGTTTTTCCCAGTATGTTTTTTAAAGTTATGTTTAACAATCCTTGCTTTGGTTTAAGAGGTAGCACCATTTCACTACAATACACGATACTCTTTGGCAGTTGGGTTCAAACAAATGATAACACTTTTGAAAATAGTGAATTGACTCATAAAAATGGATTTTAATTTAATAAACAATATTTAAAGCCTATTCTCTCCAAATCTTACTTCAATTATTTTGAAGCCCAAACTGCTACCACACAGGCAAAATATTTAGGATAACACAACAGGTTCTTTATTGAGACAAACTGATCTCTCTCTAAAAATATTCCTCTAATCTAAATTTAATTAAATAAATCGCTTTCTACTAAAGTTTCTAGTCTATTTTATTCATCAGGTTTTCAGGGCAATACCTCATTGACACAACATGGCACAGCACAGTGAAAGATAAAACAGGTTTGAGACAATAGCTCAGATCTCTTCTGAAGGTCACTAAAACTGATGCTGTGGCCTCAGAATGCAGCTATTTATTTATTTATTTATTTATTTATTTATTTATTATTTTGCAACTTCATTACTTTTCCTTCCTCTTTGCCCTTAATAAGTATTGTTGCCTTTATACAGATGTAGCTAGCAAGGAGCAAGAGAAACCTGTTATGCCTCTTGAAGAAAAGGAAGAGGGAGATTCTGAAGACGCAGCTATGGAAACGGATATGCAGAACAATGAGGATCTCAGAGCAGTAGACACAGAGGAGCTGAAGCCAGAAAAAAAGAAGTGTACTGCCACTAAAACTCCTGGTACATAACTTAAAAATTCTAAACGTACGCTGATGTGCGTCTTTAAATGAATATGTAGGTATTTATATTTGCATGTAATGGTGTGTATACGTTTTATAAGACTGAAACATCTGCTCTTAATTGACTTTTCTGCAGCAGTATTCTTACTCCTGCCTAGTAACCAGCATTAGCCTTTGCTAAAGGGTTTGAGTGACAGAGGGGTTTGCTGCTTTCTTTCAAGTTAATGGTCTCTAATCTTTATCCACTTCTTTGAAGAAGTAAAATGCAAACGCTTTCCCGTTGTTAGATGCAATGCCCATTCACTTAATTAATTGGCATATAACAATGCATTCCAGTGTCACCAGCAACAGCACCACATAATGCAAGTTTTTTTTTATGTGTAACTTCTGACAAAACATCAAGAAGTTGAGAAGCTGGTCTGGACAGTATCCAGTGAGGTAGCACCAAAGTGTCACTGTCTCTCTTGCTGCTTTCTTCCTTAAGTGGGAATGAAACAAAACAAAACTGAGCCGCCTAACAGAAAATGGCTATCAGATGGGAATGGTTGGTAGATGAGAAGATAAGTCTGACTTGTCAGTCACACAGCCCACAAACAAAATAACCTAGATAGAAATAAGTATCTCTTGCCAGTTGCAACAGCAGTATTTAATTTTGATGAATCTAAGGAAATGACACCGTAGCTTGGAATTTGGAATGGTTTTCTTTTCAAACAACAAAAAAGCTGTCTGGAGAGGGGAGACAAGAGTTTTACCAGCCTGAATTAACCTTCTTGCCTCTCACTCCCTTCAGGTTTAATCTCTTCACTTAAATCTCTTGCTAGACTCATTAGCGTTATGGTACAGGCATGCATGTAATCAGTCTATTTGTTTTTCCACATGATTTTCTAACAGTATGTTCTGAAAAACTAGGATCTTTGAAAGATCTCCTACGTCATATTTTTTTCCCTTAGAAAAAAGGAGTTGTTAAACAGTGTAGTAGAAATGATAATAAAAAAATCTGTAGTCAATTCCTTTATTTGTAAATTGACTTCTGATTTATAGGAAACTGTTCCATTACAAAACTAGAGAGTAAAAGATGAGAAAAGAAAAGATTGCCGTTATTTTTTTTAATTATGATTTTCTGAATGGTCTCAAATTGCTTTATACCTCCTGTCACTGCGTCAGAGAGGCTACGAAGCTCAAAAAGTGTACTTTATCAAAGGAATTGTCAGCTGTTAAAAGACCTATTCTCTAATATTTTGTTCATTTGGCAAGAAGGTTATAAGAAAGAAAAACAGTTTGCATAAGGAAATGCATATTTATCTGTTCCAGTAAGTTGCAAGGCGCATTCATCATATTCCTAGAATTCATTGTCTTAAAATTTGTGCGCTTCTCTTAAAAAAAAGTCTGGGTTGTATTGCCAAGTACACTTTTACACTTTGTAAAACTGTCGAGGTACAGTATTGGTTCTTGTATTGTGTGTGATCCACAAAGTTTGTAATTAGTTTTGTGATTGTAGGACCAGGTGAGGCGGAGCCAGAGATCCAGACTTTTGACTCGGAGGATGTCAGTGACTCTACAACAGAAAAGCTGCCAAAGGTGACTGAAGAGAAACCAGAGAGAAGTACAGACTCGACCATACATACAGCCCATCAGTTTTTGATGGACACTCCCCAGGTATGATACCCAATGTGTCGTCTTACAACTACAGTAGTAGAAATGGTCTGTTTTATTTGACCTGTGTTAATGAAACTGTGAATGTAAAAGTTTAGAATTACTTTCATTCAGACAACTCAGTAGCTTGCTGTTCTTTAATAGCAGAATGAAAAGTTACACACAACCAACTGTTGTATATGCAGCTGAATGATAACTTTAAAATGACAAGTCCTCCCCATCATTATGAGGGAAGGTCCCATCCTCACTCTTTCTAAAAAAACTTTTTTTTTAACTGTCAAGAACTGTTTTTCTCAGATGAATCTGCTGATCAAATGCTTGGGTAGAGTGGAAAGTGATGGGCAAGGGTATGTGGCCTGAAGATATAAAAAGGATTCAGAGTGATGACAACGCTAGGCATCAGTGACTTTAAAACACCATTGTAGACAAAGAATTCACCTCAGTTAATTCATCACAATATATTACTTCCTCAAAAAAGCTAATTGCAAATATTATAGAACCTTTGTGAGCCTTTTATGAATGTTGCAATTAAAAAAATATTATCATAGCCTAGAAAATCCTAGAGCTTTGTGTAATACTCATAGTTTCCCAGTGCAAACTGTTAGCTGCGAAAAAACACGTTTTATCATAAAGAGCTATGGCATAGAAGCAGTAGGTGGTGGCTAACCAGCTGATAAAGTAAGAATCTTTTCAGTGTCTGTTTTTTAGAAGTATTTGGCCTTTCATGCTTGTAATATTGTGCCCTCAGTACATACTTGGAGGGTGACGTTTTACTGTTTCTACGCACAACACAGAAAGGATTGTGTGCCAGCTATACCTGGTATTTCCATCTTAATGCCAAATGTTGCAGCTCTTTGGAAAAAGGCTGCTGAATGCAAGAGTGTTCTCCTGTTGTCAGAATAGTTATGTGCCTTTTTTTGTTGTTGGGTTTGGGGTTTGGTTTGGGTTTGTTGGTTTGGGTTTTTTTCCAATTGACATGCAAATCCTAAAACAGGAGGGGGAGCTCTTGCAGCACCAGTTAAAGACGAGGGGAGAAACGATGCTGGGGGAAAATTGCAAGTCCTCACCTTTCAGCAAGAGGAAGAGGGAGGAAGCCCCCCCATGTACCTTCTTCCTCCCTTCCTTAAACCTGCAGTAGGTGCCCAGAAGGACTGCTGCTGCTTCTTGAAGAATGAGAAGTTATTGCTGCTGTTGCGTTTGCATTCACAGGCTTATTTTCCTTAATCCGTAAACCTGCAGGTTATGCAGACCATATACTACTGTTTGGCTAAACTATGGTTTTACAAGTCAGGAACAGAAGTTGTAACTGAAAGCACAATAAAAGTAAAAGAAGTGTAATAAAGCTTGGGTGTCATTACACAGAATGGTTTATCAAATTATATTTGCTGGCAGGTGAAGAGGAAGATGTCATTCAACTCTTAAGTGGTTTGAATGAAGCTTTTTAAAAAACTGTAATGAAGTGAAGCATATTATATTTTGGAAGATACTAGATAGGTAGTATTCAACAGCTTGATCTCCATGATACTGTCATTAAATCTGGCGTTTGTCAAGATCATTTCATTACATTACCTTGAAGTTCTGTATTTGATTATTTTCAGTGTCTGTATCATAGATGTGTTCCTAGCTTTGTCCCTATGTTGATTGTGTCACAGATGCAGGTATTTGTGGGGAGGTATTTATCCTTACTGTACATGGAAGCTATTAAAAAATGGAGATTTAGAATCTTCATTCAAGTTTACTCAGGTATTTTTGTGTCTAAAAGAATAAGAACAATGCATTTTTACTCTTTTATAGTTTGCTGTAGTTTGGGGATCACAAGATATGTGAATGTATGTTTCTGTCTCCTAAATCTCATAACTGCATTTTTAGCACATCGTTAGAGATCCTGAAGAGCTAAGAAAGGAACTTGAAAGGCAATTGGAAGCTTGGCAGACACAGCAGTCTGGAACTCCAGATGAGGTTTGTGACCTCATTTTAGTATAAAACTGTCATAAGGATCATTGCATTGTTTCATCTTGTTTTACTGCTGAAGCATTGAGGAAGCTTGAGGAAGAGCACTGAGGAAGATCCAAGCAGACTGGAATCTAAATATTCAAAATAGCATGATTTAGATGCTGGTTTTGTTGTTATGTTTAACTTATTTTGAAAAAAAATTACATTATTCTTAAAGCAGGATGATGTTTCAGGTCTTGTTTTGAATGTGCTGTGTGCTATTTGGAGAAAGTTACTCTGCTGATAATGACTTCTAAAACTTACATAGTTAGAAACCTTTTTCTCAGTCCTGTCAAGCTCCTTCCATCTTGAGTTGTCATCTGCAGTTAAGTGCTGGCCACGACTTTCACAAAATTATGATGGACAGAAGCTGTCTCTTCCAGTTGCAGTGGTGGAGTCTGAGCTAATCAGCAGCAGAACCAGAATATGATACTTGCTCTGACTGTCTAGTCATGAATTGTAAACTGTACTTGGAAGTAACTCGTGAATGAAATTGCCAGCGTAGAGGCTTAACAATTTTACTGCATTTTAATTAACGTAAATAATACTATTTTTGATGGCCAGTAGAGAAGCTAGCAGACTTCATGGCTTGCCTTGCTGTAATACCAACTATCAGATGCTAGCCATTACAAGATTTTGCTACATCAAAAGCAATACCAAAGTTGTTTTTTGCACTCCTAGAGGAATGGTCATTGCATGTTGCAGCTCTGTAGCAGCAAGGAGCATGCTAAGTTGAATGCAGATTGTCGTCTTTATACAGTGCTCACAAGACACCCTCACAGTTCCAGCTGATAGTTACCTACTACCTCCCCCTTGGTACACTGAGGTTTGTTTTCTTTTTTCAGGCAGTGCTTCCCTGCTTCTTGCTTCTTCATAATTCACGTTTATTTCTTTCTGTGATGTATGATGTTTTAGGAGAGGGAAGCAGCACAGTTGTGGCAGAGGTATTTAGTACTGACAGCTCCTCTATCACAGCAGCTTTGCGAACAGCTACGACTCATATTGGAACCCACTCAGGCAGCAAAACTGAAGTAAGTTGCATCTTTCTGAAGCTTCGAGTTTCTTTAAACAAGTGGTTTTGGAGGGCTTTAACCTCTGCACAACTGCAGCTTGATGTTGTTTTTGCTTTATAGCAATTACTTGTGTTTGCAAATGCATTAATTTTGCTTTTGGATGGGAACAATAGGTTATTTTACGAAATGCAATTGTGATGTAGTAGTAGGTACCCATCCTGACAATAATGCCTCCTATTTTTTCCTTCTGTGCAACAGGTGATCAAACCAACTTAAACCCATGAAGTGCTGTTGAGTCAAAGATGATGTTAAATGTCAAAATGCTCTGGTTTTAACATTAAGTGATTATTTTTTTTTTTTTAAAGAGATCTAGACTTGTTTCAAACTGGAGGAGTCTGAATTCAAGGTCTTCCTTCCATTTTAGAATCGTTTGTAGAATCATTTAGGTTGGAAAAGACCTTTAAGATCATCCAGTCCAACCATGTGCCAACTGTTTTAGGCACCTAGATTTAAGAACTTGTTTTAAAAAACACTGAATATCCATGTTGCATTAAAAATGTGAGATTTTTTTGATCTCTACCTAAATATGAATATTAGAGCTACTAATTTTGGTTTTATTATATTTTCAAAATTTTGTTATTTTGCTGCATATGCTGCATAGGCCAGGATTTCCAGAATGTGATACTTGCTGATAATCCCTGTCATCATGTCTTTTTCTTAACTTTCAGAGGAGACTACAGAACAGGGAAGAGACTGAACATGCGCAAAGTGATTCCATATATTGCCAGTCAGTTCCGAAAAGATAAGATCTGGTTGCGAAGGACCAAGCCCAGTAAACGACAGTACCAGATTTGCTTGGCTATTGACGATTCCTCCAGTATGATAGACAATCATTCTAAACAGGTAAAATAAAAACCTTGGAAGAAGTATGAAGAAGCTGCCCCTTGTTGATGAGCATGTCAGCTGCTGACTTGTTTCACACAGAACTGGTGGCCGTTGGCAAGTCTGACTCTGGTGATTCTAGAGCAGTTATTTTCTTGGTCCATGCGCTTGAACTCTTGTCACTTCATGCTTAAGAAATTTGTTACTAAAAGATCAGTGAAAGTCAGCTGAAAGGAGGAGATGTTAAATTTGTTAGAGGTGTATGTATCCACTGGAAATTTATTTTTTGTAGCCTGTAAAAGCCTGAAATTTGCTTAGCTATGCAGTTCATTGGAGGATTAAATACTAGTTCATCGTAGCTCACTTGTAGGGTTTTTATTTATTAAAAATATGTGTTTCCTTCTAAATAGTTATTTTAGTGTTTATTTAATTAGCCTGCCTGAAGTGGTATCTCTAAACCAATCAGCTGAAGCCTTCAAGTAGAACTAGTGTATCTTTATTGCAATGACTATCTTGTGTAACTAGGACAGGAAAAAAATATAGGAAGTCTCTTCATTTGTTTTACTAGACAATGAAAAATAATTTCAGTAACATTCTTCATATTTAATACTGAGCTGTGAGCAGAGCTTTGAATATCCTGGTTTTGATGTAACTTTTTTTCTTTAATAGCTTGCATATGAATCCCTGGCAGTTATTGGAAATGCACTGACTCTTCTAGAAGTGGGACAGATTGCTGTGTGTAGGTGAGTTTATTTGAAATCTTGACTTTTCTTCAAGACTTCACAGCAGAATGCAAGTACCGGTTTCATGCTGTAATTTTTTTCTTCTTTTCTTAAAGCTTTGGAGAGACTGTTCAGCTGCTGCACCCATTCCATGAACAGTTCAGTGACCAGTCAGGGACACGGATATTGCGTCTTTGCAAATTTCAGCAGAAGAAAACAAAAATAGCCCAGGTACACAAGAATGCCTCTAGGGCAACAGATTTGCAAATCTTTGTTCTAGACATCAGCAGCTTCATGGTTTCATGATTGCTTTGTAATGTTTATTGGCTGGTCGTATTTGAGAGTGTGATAGCTGGTTGGATAACAGAGAGAATGGTCACGATTTTCTAACAGTAAGAATGTTTTCTCACTTTTAGTTCTGATGTATGCCACTTTTAAGCATTCATCTTTCTATGTGTTGGGTTTTAAACAGTATTTTGGGTACAAGCTATTGGGTACCCCAGTGCCAAATCACATCAAAGTTTATGGGAGTTTAGCAGGTTTTCTTGCCATGGATTCCACTGTAGTAGGAGGAAGAGCTTTGTATGTTTGTCAGGCTGTAAGTTTGTCAGACTTCACTGATTCCTGAAGAAAGTAACTTTCTGTAGTAATACTTACTTCCTGGATAGCTGCAAAATTTTCTTTCCTTAAGGAAGTTTTTTGCAGTCTTACCTTTCCAGACTTATGAATAAGATCTTCCATTAATATTAAAAGGAAAAGGAGGAGACCCAAATAGCTCGATGGTAATTTTATAAATGCCAAAATTGGGAGGACTTGACAGCTGATGTCCTTAATTTTAATGGGGAATATGTAACTAGATAGTTCTGTTGCAAGTTGAAGCCAAAGAAGTTCAACCTAGAAATAGGATGTATCTTTTTAATGATGCCATTGATCACTTGAACAATATACTGAGGTGTTCATGGCTTTGTTTGCACTGGAAAAATTTTAAATCCAGATTGAAGGCTTTTCTGAAAGTTGTCTCGTTCAAAAATACGTACTAAATTTGAAGCAGGAGTTAATATAGGAAAATGCCAAGGACTGTATCTGTGTAGCTGGTCAGACTAAAGTATCTTGGCATTTAAAATACAGAAATGTGTTCTTTAAAAATGTTATCATTATTAAGTTATTATTTTATAATGAGATAACTTAATCTTTTTATTTGTTTCCTTTGCAGTTTCTAGAATCATCAGCAAATATGTTTGCTGCAGCACAGCAGTTGTCTCAAAATATTAATCCGGGTGAGCTTTTTTTGTTACTATGCTTGTTGCCGTGGCAGCAGAATGCTCACTACAGTCCCGAAGCAATATCCTGCAAGAAAGACTCCTAGCACAGAGACATCACCTGCATATTAGGGCTTTGGGTTTAGCTCAAAACCCAAAATGAATGTTTGGTTGAAATTTAGTTCAAACACCTACTTCATATTTGTCAATAATTCACTGAAATTTTGTTCAAGGCTTTTTAAAAAGGCACACCTTACCTGCCTCCCTTTACGTCATGTTTCCAGGTTGTGTTTCAGTCCTAGACGCTGCCTGCTTTAGAGCACTGTCCAGCTTGCTAGTGACCTTGACTCCCTAGGCACTTCTGCTCTTGCTTGAGAGCTTGATTTCTGTAGGTATCCAGAAGCACACTGTTCTGGGGGGATAAGTGTTTGCCTCCTGCCTGCCTTTCACTGTGGTGCAAGGTCATGAGCTGCTTGAATTTCCCAGAAAAGCTGGAAGGCTTGTTACCTCACGGCTGACCCACAATTAGCCTAAAAGGCTGCTTTGTGCTAGTTAAAAGCTTGTCATGGTGGCACCCATATTTTAAAAAAAGTTCTTGTTGTTAAAATACTTCAAGAAATGGACAGTCTGGGATTTATAATCCACAGCTGCTTTGCCACAGGGTGGCAAGGCTGTCGGAATATTCAGAGGTGGAGCAGCATCCAGTCCTGTTGGAACTAGGCTGAGATGGAGCAGCAATCAGGGAGCAAGCAAGAGAAAGGGCAGTAGGAAACATCATCACCCCTTTTTGTAAAAAGACCAAGCCCTGACACATTTGGGGCCTGTCTGCAGCAAAGGAGGAAGCGTTCTGCATCCCTCCATAGCTGTTACGCTGCAAGGGGGACAAGAGAGGTGCTTGGTTTCTGACTGATGCAGCCATAGGTACCTGCTTCTGGAGGAATAGATTTGGGCGATCTATTTCATTGCAGCAGCTGCTGCTCTGCTGAGGTAGTGATCTAGTGGCTGGACTCTTATAATTGAGCCAATATTGAACTCCTAGGCACTTATGAGGCATGAAAGACAAGGGCCAGGCATGAAAGACCATGACTCAATTCACTAGGTATTTTCCATGCCTTTCATCATTGATCACGATACTGATGGACTGAGGTTCTTTCCCCCCAGTTATTCTCAATGGTATCGCACGGTGGGAAAAACTGTCTTCCTTGACCCACTTGTAACTTAATGTTAAGTCATTCTATTTGATAAAGACTTACTTCCTTAGGAATACTCTGAGGGTTTTTCCATTATACCCACAGGGCTAACAACAAAATAGTCTGTTTGCCTTTTAAATGGATTACTCTGGATTACTTACTGGAATTTAAAATGTTCTTTGTGCTCAGAAACAGCGCAGCTGCTTTTGATTGTATCTGATGGAAGAGGCCTTTTCTTGGAAGGCAAGGAACGAGTGACGGCAGCAGTTCAAGCAGCTCAGAATGCCAATATCTTTGTTATTTTCGTAGTGTTGGACAATCCGAATTCCCGGGTAAGTGAACAAGAGAGAAGTATTCAAGTGCAGTGAATGAGAAACATACAAATCTTCTTACTTGTCTTTCATAGTGCTTTGCAGCTATCTTGTCTTTTGCAGAGGTCAAAGATATTTAGCCCAGTTTCAGCTTTTCACAATGTCTGTCAGATCTTCTATGATTTCGCCCTACTGTGATGCTTATCCTCTTTTGTATTTTAAAAAAAAAAAATATTGGCTTCCATGCCACAGAAAGTCTAAGTAAGAGCTCCTGTCTTGACGTGTAATGGCTGTAGATTTTGGCCATCAGAGAAGTAGCTGGCAGGCTGACAAATTCAGAGTTTGAGAAATGCTTTGTTCATCTCAATTTTGATTCAAATTGATCATTTCTGACAGCAGTCTCCATTTGATATGGCAGCTGGAGCCAATATGAGATGAAACATTAGACTGAAAGGAGTATATGAGAGTTATTTAGTGCATGAATTGGGAAAGCTGGGTACTGTATTTGGTAGCTGTGAAAGCAAACTGCTAAGATTTCCTTGGCTGGGAAGCTGAAATATCCGGGAGCTTTTCAGGGAGACTCTGTAGTGCAATAAGCAAGCAAACTTAAGCCTTGCTTTGAATTAGGTGAAAACTCTAACTTTGTAGTTCACGTTTTCTTCCTGTACCTTTATTTGTCCATATGAAACTCATCTGCTGTGTTTATTGTTGGAAAATTAACAACTCTCTTGCTGACAAACTATTAAAAGGTTCTGATGAAACCTAGCTATAATCTCAGGCAAAAATTCTGGGCAGTTCAATACATTTTTTTTTTTTTTAATAAGCTTTATTTTCTGAGCTGCTACACTGAGCAACTAAGAAGTTACTTTACAGGAAGCACAGCTGGAATTGTCTTTGTAGTACTTGTTGAAATATTATAAAATAATTTGCTAAAGAATCTTGTTGTATTAAATCACTGCACAAATGCAAGTTGAACTCTTAGCCCTAACAAGCTTACAGATGACAGTGTGCTGGAAAGGCATCAAATGTATAAAAAAACCTAAAGTGATAACAGTAAACTCAAATCATAAAATACTAAGGAAAAACAGGATTTATTTATAGAATTTGGTATTGCAGAAGCTTAAGCTTAGGCCTCTTCTAGCCTATAATTCGTTAATTAGTGCACTTCTATCTAAAAGGGCAAAAGCATTGAACTGCTTTGTGTTCAGCTTTTTATTTGATTTACCATTGAACACTTAATCTTAAAACTCTATTAACTTTTAATTTAACAGAGGAGGAATTACAAGTATGTGAAAAATAGGATAAATAATATCAAAGGCCTGTAAGAGATGCATGTGGTTTCTCAGTCCTGTCAATTCTTTTTTACAGGATTCCATTTTGGACATTAAAGTACCCATATTCAAAGGACCTGGAGAATTGCCTGAAATCAGATCATACATGGAAGAATTCCCATTCCCATTCTACATGATCCTTAGAGATGTGAACGCGCTTCCAGAAACTCTCAGCGATGCACTCAGACAGTGGTTTGAACTGGTGACTGCCTCGGACGCTTTGTAGACAAAGTCAATACCTGATTGCTGCTAAACTGCTGAAAGATATGAAATGGCATTTCATCGGAGAGTTTGTAAGGTCTCTTTCTAACTAGGATTAATCAGACCGCCTAAGAACAAAACGGTTTAGGTTCATTCTTCCACAGTTGTCAGAGGAGAATCACGCAATGGTGAGACTGTCGTCTTCTTTCATTGCCTATTCCCACAAATAATGTAAAACTTTCTTCAACTTCTCTTGTAATAACTTATTACTTTAAAAAAAAAAAAAAGTGTTTGTAATATTCACAAAGCTAAAATTATTCCTACCACTGTCTACTGCAATAAGAAAAATTGTTCTTGCTTCTGGGAAGTCATTTCTGCATTAGGAGAACTTGAGGTGTCTTGCAAAAAAGCGTTTGTTAGCTTCACCAATGTGGCTAGTGCCTCTCTGGGAAGGAGAGGGGGGAGCAGGGGAAGCAGATCATTTTAAACAACCAAAAAAATAAGTACTTGAATACTTAAAACTGTTCTGCAGTTAAACACATCCTATTTAATTACTGCAGAGTTTTGTCTGACAATATCAACAGGGAGTTTTATGAATAATGTCATATGATCATCCCTATATTCTCAGTTTACACTGTGAAGTTTGCCCCTCTGTCCAAGGCAGACATTGAGGGCCTTTCATTAATCTGATGTCTTAGAGCATGGACATGATTTTTCATTGCAAAAGCTATGCATCTTATATTGTCTGTACTAATAAAAAAAGGTACCACTGTTTGTAATTATGACATCAGTTTGTTCTTTCAGTTGATCAAAGCTTGAATAAATTCACCAAATTTGCCACATGAAAATGCTGTGCATTCTCTAGCAGTGCACAAATATGAATTTTCATATGAAAAGGTATTGTGGTTTATGTAACTTCAACACCTGTCCTCCTTTTGTGAGGATATGCCAGCAGAGTGTTGATTAGGGGTCCAGCCTTTTGACTCCTTTCAACAAAAATCTGAAAGACACTTTGTTTAAATGCCCTTGGTCGAAACTCTCTTTGAGGATTTTCTTTGCATACAAAAATTGAAGGTGTCTCATTCTAAGTGTGGTGCAGTTGTTGACAAGAAAATGGCTGGAAACGTGGGTGTATTCCCAAAGATGTGATTGTTCCCTTTGGCTTCTAGATTGAAAAACCTTACTTGAAGTATTGCTGTAGCTGTTCTGAGATGCGGCAGTGGCAAGACCCGGTTGTGTGAAATGGCCTGGCAAGGCTGTTTGTGCAGCAAATTTCAGAACTGAAAACTTAACAGAGAAACTCTATTCCATCAGAATTTAAATGTCAGGGACTATATAATATCCTTCGAGGGCTCTTTAGATGTCATACATGTATACAAATACTTACATGCTTTGGGAAATTTAACTGTGGAAGTAGGTGGGTTTAGTTCATTAGGTCATTCTCCAGAATGTACTTCCATTTCAGACTTGTACTGAATATTTGTAGTAGGAAACTTGGAGAAAATACTTTAGAACCAAAACTTCCCTTACGATTGCAAGGGCACACTTCCAAGGCAAATTATAGTTTGTTGCAGGGATGTTGTTACAGCTCGAGACACAGTTTTATCAGCAGTGCTTACTACACAAATGTTTAAATGCACCAAGTTTTTTCTCTCTCTCTAATTAAGAAAGAGTTTGCACTGTATTGGGTGCAAGCAAACAATTGTAAGTAACACAGAAAGGCAAGGCATCAGGTAACTGTTTTTTCTCTGCAAGCCAGCTCCATATCTGTATTCATTGATGCATGAGTGCTAAAAAAAACCCATCGGTGCCTTGCACTGTCACCAACAATTACGTGTCTGGGCACAGCTACGACTACCTAAAAAGATGCAAAAGGTAGCTTAGTGCCCTGTAATTGCGCAGATGACTTCAATTTGATCCTACAGTTAAGTATGTTAGTCTTATGCCTACATGGATGGGGCTCTGAGCAACCTGATCCGGTTAAAGCTGTCCCTGCGCACTGCAGGGGGTTGGGCTAGATGGCCTCTAAAGGTCCCTTCCAACCCAAAGCATTCTGTGATTCTATGACTTCCTCTAAGCCTTCTGTGAAATGCTGGGGTGTTGTTCATTACTTGGGTGTGTGTTTTGCTGCTGGAGCTTGTTTGCCGTTTTGGAAGAAAGAAAACAACCGAGGAACCTGACTGAAGAGCCCCGCGGCCTCTGCTTACTCTGGCGCACCTCCTGGTGTGGTGCCTCTGCACTGAAGCACCCCGGCGTCCCCCGGCAGGGACGGGCCCT